GCGACAGTACTGACACTGATTGCGGTGGTGCTGGTCTATGGGACAGTTCCTGTTGGCACGACATGTATACGTCAGGTTTCTGCGCACACTTCTCTTAAAGAAACTCTTGCAGCCTTCGCAGGTGAACTGACCGTAGTGTTTGCCGCTCGATTTGTCCCCGCACACTACACACTCGATGTGCTGCTGCTGTTTTTCCCCTTGTTGGTTCTGCTGGTTGGATTGGGCCGGAGTACCCGGGGGCCCGGGCTGGCCTGGGGTCTGCGGGGTAAGGGGGGCTCCAGAAGGCGGTTGAGGTCCTTGCTGAGGCTGGGGTGGTTGCGTGCCCTGTGGTCCGGCCACGTCGTCTTGCGGGTCTCGCCACGTACTAACTACCATTGCCATATCTCGGCAGAGTGTTATCGGGCAACGTTAAAAATGTCCTTTTTTTTTTTGGGTGGTGGTGGTGGTGGGGAGGGGGGGAGGTGGGGGTTTGGGTGGAAAATCAGCAGGACCGGTGGCAAGGAAAATGAAGGAAGAAGAGTCGATTAGCTTGTGATAACAACACACACACACACACACACACACACAGGGTGGGAGGGGGTGGTGGTGGGTGGTGGGTGGTGGGGGGGGGGGGGGTTGGGGAAGGGAGAGAAAAAAAGAGAGGAGACGCACACACACACACACACACACTCACACACACACACACACACACACACAAGATAAGAGAGTGTGTAGAGAGGCAGCAGTTCAAACCCGTTCAGCAGAGAAGTGGCGAGAGTCGGGGGGCCAGGACCAGGGCAACCCGCAGTCAGCCATTCAGGAAACCCATAAAAAAAAGGAGAAGGGGACGAAAGGTTAAAGATTGCGAAAAAAAAAGGATCGACTTCTTCAAGGCAGCGCACGATCCGGTGTAGAAGTGTTCGACCATCAACTGATCATAAATTCTTCGCCGTGGTGTTGGTTGTAGTAGTAGTGGTGGTGGTGGTGGTGGTGTTGCTGGTGGTGGTGGTGGTGGTGGAGGAACTGCACATACGAAGAGTCAACAACTCAGCAGCAAAAGGGGACTATACACACACACACACAGACACACACCACACACCACACACACACACCGCACACACACAAAAAAAGCAGTCGTCGACGGTCCCCCCAAAAAAGCTACTGAAACCTCTCTCGTGCGAGAGGGGGAGAAAAAGGAAGAGAGAGAGAGAGAGAGAGAGAGAGAGAGGGGGGGGGGGGGTGGGGGGAGAGAGAGAGAGAGAGAGAGAGAGAGAGGAGAGAGGAGGAGAGAGAAGGAGAGAAGGGAGGGAGAGAGATAGAGGGAGAGAATCAAACTGATCAAATATGCAAAGGGGGTTGGAAGTGAATCCGATTTGAACGAGCGGGGCTTGCGGAGTAATTTTTCTGAAAGGGGAAATCTGCGCGGATGGCTGTATATAGTGAACTTTGACACGACTATTGAAACTGACACGTTTCTATGGAGATGCCTTCCTTATATGGCGCTACACCCGAGTGACGGAGCCAAAGCGGCGGCTGCTGGCGACTGGCAATCAAAGGCGACTGGTCAGAGCTTTAGGTTCGAGGGGGCTGGGACATCCAGCCCGCCCCTTGCACCGCATTGGATAGGCACCTCACTTGCTATCCGGCCGCCCCTGGCCAGCAACACATTTACATTGCATCCACGCGCAGAAATCTTACTTCCAAAATAAGTTTTTTTTTATATATATATTTTTTATATTTTATATATTTTATATTTTATATATACAAAAAAAAAATTTTTTTTTCGAGAGATGATGATGATGATGGAGGAGGAGGAGGATGGGGAGGATGGGGAGGAGGAGGATGAGGGGATGTGGGGGAGTGGGATGGGGGTGAAGAGAGGGAGGTGGGTTGGGATGGTGGTGGGGTGGGGTGGGGAAGGGGGTGTGGGGGGGGTGGGGGTGTTTGGGGAGAGTAAAGGCTGTGCGCTTTTAAATGCAACTGCCAGAAATGAACAAGGAATGAATATTGCCAGAGTGCGTTTCATGAAATAATATTTTTAATAGCTCACGAAAACTCACACAGCACTGAAACAATAAGCAATAAAGATCGTTTGCGAACATTCGTTTGTATAGTTGGAGGTGGGGTGGAGATTCTTGATATAACAAGAGTTTGCTCGGCATTAATACAGACGCGATCAGACAGCGTTCAAATACATATTGCAAGTTCCTATAGTCACACACATATATCCTTGTAAATTCTCATAGTTTCATCAGTAAGAAAAAAAACTACCCATAAGAACTTAGATTTGACCAAAAAGTTGATCTTAAGGAGACATGACATTGACAGCAATTGCTTCGCATTCATATTACAGAGCATCTTAAAAGTTGTTCTTGGAAAAAATGTAATGAGCATTATCAGAGATTTTACTGAAGTGGCTCTCAATGAAAGTAATGGGAATAAATATTGGCATAAATCGGTTCTACCCGTTTTTGAGGCTATCTGTATTCAAATTTCAGGAGGAATACTGCAACTTTAAAAAATATCAGCGTTTGGAGCGTTTTATTCCATCTGATGAAACAGTATTTGCAAAAACATAAAGTGATTAATTTGCAATTCTTCAAGTGCAAACTGGGTTTGCAATATGCCGGGAGCTGGTTAGGTAGATACGTTGAAACATAGACATACAGACACAGATAGATACACATATACACACGCACATACATACACACACAGATGCATACATATGAATGGGTCATTTCGCATTAAAAGACTCAAAACTATGTCCAAGGGCGGCGATTCTTTAGAGCACAGCTGCCCCTATAAGACTTTTTTTTTCCTCCGGAATAATAGATTCGAATTCCCAATGTCTTCATTTTGGAAGAAAGACAACTCTATTTGTAACACATTATATTTAGTGGTCACTCGGGGTTGGCGGGTTAGTCTTATTGGCAGGACTACCAAATTAACAAAGAAATTGACATTTAAACAGACCAGAATTGACAAATACCATTATTTTCACGAGAAATACATGTAGCTTTAGGCACAGGTAAATAACATAGCTTTTGGAGGGGCTGGTATCTTACATTTAACAGAATGATGCAGACTGCGAAATTCTTGCAGTCATACTAAACAGATTGCACATTACTTGAAATTAGATGTAACTCAAATTGAAGGTTTTTTTAAGGTTCGGGAAAACTTAAACTAGAAAATGTGGCCGTTTGGGCTTGTAAACGCGTGTTTATTATTTTGAATCTGCAGACAGACACGCTTTGGAAGATTTTTTTTGGTAGGACATGAACAATTTGTACAATTCTTTTTTCCGAATCCAAAGGACATGTTGTTGTGAATGCACAGGCATTTGTGTTATTACATTTATGACTTGACGTTTTCCGAGTGTCGATCTTATTGAATGTTAAAAAAAACACACACATTAAATGTATCGTTCTCAGACTTAGGATTTTTTCATTAAACAGGTGTTTGCTTTAAGGTGCAGTAACAGCTAGTACACTTCGTGTACCGTTACTTAAAAGAAAATGGGATTTTCATTTCTGTTCTGTTGACTTTGTTTCACAAATCCACAAAGAAATCCACAATTTCTGTATGAATTCTGTTAGAAGTGTCCCTTACAGTCAAACCAGATGATAACATACACAGAATGTGGTTACTTGGGCTGAACATACACTGTTCGCCTTGATGTACATTTAACAATGTAACCACATATAAAACATGTTTACTTAATTCAGTATAAAATGGGGAAAATCCTAGTATAACTGTACTGGGGGGGAGTGCATTGACATTTACAAAACCTATGAAACATTATAAATGTAACACTTTAGCACACCGATCAGACGCCAATATTGTTATAACGAAAAGGGTTTATTACCAGATATTCAACAGATTAAAACGCAACATGCAGTTGATTATGAGAAACGTGGAGAGAATACTTTTACCGGTAATTAAGGCAACGTAGCTAATATAAATATATATATATATATATATATATATATAGCGATATCATTTATTCAATAACTATCCAAGAAGCACACACAAAAAAAGTTTGGGTTTCCTGTGAGGTTTGCTGTGAGAGTAGCAGAACTGAGTCGCCGCTATTTTATGACAATTGAACAAATTGCACTTTGTAATTACTTCAAAAGAAACTTTTGACCGCCTTATACGAATCATGTTGCCTTAAAAAAAACAGTTATTCGTAAATCATTTTTTATCAAGACGAAAAGTTACAGGACGAGATAAATTAATATTATATCAGCCTCCAACTGTAATAAAGCTTGAGAAATCCATTTACAACACGAGTTGGGTGCCACTTGCTCCCCAGTTTATTCTGTGATAACCAGCAAGGTCTATTGAATTTGAGTTCCCTGTGAATTTGCCCTGCTTTTTTTCACTACATTGCAACACAATGAATAGGGAAAGTGGTTCCCATTGTGTCCCAGTGATCTCAAAGTCATTGCAGTTTTTAAGCAGTGACTTGTGGTACTTTGATAACCGCCGGGAGCTGTCAGTGTAGGGGCTTCTGAAAAATTTACAGTGCTAAATCGCAGCATATGCTGGAGAATTTGTCAAAATCTTGTACAGTATCTGGCTGCCACCTAGCGTATGGAGTGTCACTGTAGAAACTCCAGACGAGAGAAAAGCCATTCAAAGGATCCCGGCGCCTCCTCGCTCACAACGCGTCCTTTATACCCTGAAAAAAAAACTTCTGCACCTTTAATCTGATTAATTCTTTAGGATTTTTCTCTAATTGACTCGGACGTTGCTGAGCTGGACTGCGTGATCTCCGTCGCTTTGTGTGTGTTTTTTTTTCCTCCTCCAGATCTGCCCGGATGCCAGTGTGTAGACTGGGTGGTTGGGCAATTGTCTTATTTCCCCAAACAAAACGATCCCCCCACACATTTTGCGTGTAGGGTTTTTTTTTCCCCAAAAAAATAACAAAGCGATTCTTCCGACGTTAAAACGGTACATGTATTTTGAAGTCGGCTACCCCCCCCCCCCGAACCCCCCCCCCCCCTACCCACCACCACCAGTCCCCTCCAAAAAAAAATAAACCATCAAATCGGTACCAGGATCTTTATAAAGTGGTGAGTACCCATTTCTGATGCTCCATTTAAAAAAAAACAAATCTGTTGATTGTGTACCAACTGGTTCTTGCGCGTTAATTCAAATAATGATTGTTTCCTTGTTTTTAAAATTAAAAATGAGCTCGACGTGGATATCGAGTGCAGTAAATCAAAGCACAGTTACACAGCAATTTAGGAATGAATTGGGAGGGGGTGGGGTGGGTGGGGGGGGGGGGGGGGGAGTGTGGGGGGCGAGGAAATCTAATTCATTGAAATACGAGGGTCGAGTCTTTGAAATTTTTTTTTCCACACACAGCGGGTCAATCGCTTCACACGGATTCTAAGCCCTTTGGCTTTATTTACAGTCAGTGAATTTGTATTAGTTTCGGCCGTTCTGTTGTATTATCCAGATATTACACATCTATGAGATAGTGTGTGTAAAAAAAAACCCATACGCGATTCGATTGAAATCACTGAGTAAGTACCATTGCATTTGGAATCGGTGCAGAAGTATCCCCCGGAACCGTTAATGGCTGTGCATAGAATGATCAAAATAACCACAACTAGAACCCCACAATGATATGAATGTGCTCCCAATGTTTTTTTTTAAAAAAAGAAAGAAAACAGCAACGCTAACTCTTCCAGCGGCTTTAGTTTATTCGCTCTCAACCAGAAACGTCTCCCAATTCAACCCCCGATTTGGTGACAGGAATAATATAGATTAATTAATATAAACACAGGTTCTTTTAAGAGCGATCGGGTTTTGACACAGAGAATAGCCTTATTTGCTCTCGAATAAGTAAAGAAAAAAATATATATTTATTTGAACATACCAAACACCAAGGGTCGCATTTGCCTTTGTTCAATGTCCGAAATTATTTGCATCGCGATGGGCTCGAGTCTCCTCTGGACACAGGAAGTTGTGAATCTTGGCGGAACTGAGTTGGAAAGTAGTGAGTGAGATGAATCTCTCTTTTTTTTTTCTGGCAGGTGAACTGAAGGAGGGAATAGTCTCCTCCTCACCTGATCTATTTGTCTATTGAAGAGAATCACTCATTTCATCGACCGTCATCTGTTTGCTCAACCGATAGTGTAAACTGATAAGAGCCTTTGGCCAGAGCCGAGAGGCGACAGAAATATTCAGAGACAAAAGAAAGCACTTTCGATTTGTAATTTAACTTTCGCCCAATCTTTCGGTTAACTTTATGGGGCTATCGATATCACAGAGCTGGTGAAACGTGCTCTGGAATGCGAGCCGCGCCTTTCTTTCATTGAAAATAAAGCAACGTCCAAATAAAGCAATGGCCTGACCGGTCGGTCTTTGCTTTGCTGTGGTCAGTTGCAGTAATGAATTGGTAAAACTTCCCAATTTTTTTTTCCGGGGGGGTGGGGGGGGTGTGCGGGGGGGGTGGGGGGGGGGGGTGTGGGTGGCGGTGGAGGAACAAAAGCATACAACTTATTCTAAAATCTGATAGTCTTTCACATACCGCCTCTCTCGCCCATAAGAGGAAACTATGATGCATCTAAACAGTTAACAGGAACGACACAGCTGAAGTCTTATTAAACGGTACTCGTATAAAAAGTAACTGATTAGCAGTTGGGATAACTTTTTGTCAAAGTTAATTTGTTTCTATTTTATTGCTTCTGTAAAGTTAGTTCAAGCTCAGGGTTCAAAGGTGACCAATTCCCCTAACGCTAAACCCAGAAAAGCCTCGCAACAGAGAAAACAAATTCAATATTTCTTCGAGGTTCTGAGATGAAGTGTTGATGTAACGTGGTTTGCATCCAATGAAAAAAAAATATCTGTTTCCGCAATTTCGAAAGGGTATCCTTAGCGAGTGGAGAATCCCTTAGCCTCAAGTCTTTGTCTTGGCAAGGTTGAGAGGGGATTGTGTGTGAATCGTGTGAAAAGGACGGCTAGGGTCGCTTCAGATCGATTTTTATTTGTCCCCTCTGTCTTTTCGGATCAGCGCTCTTCAATGGACACATAGGCGCTCTTTCAAGAGAAAAATCTTGTGCAACATTTCTGGCCTGATTGCAGCCAAATAGTACTCACCGTTCGGATTCTAGGGGTAGAAATCTACCGCAATTAAATCATTAAATACATGTGCACTTCCAAATCTTGCCAGTATTAGCCGCTCCATCACATTTCCATACTGCCATTTCCAATGACACAATAGATATAAGAACCTAAACAAGACATTCAGACGTCTCTTCTGACATTATATTATATATATATATATATATATGTGTTTATTAAAGACATTGCCCGTTCAATTTGATTCCCCTATTTGTACGCATTGAACTGTATCTACGAGTTGAATATTCAAACAAGTTTACATTTAGATGTGTTTTGACATAAATTATGACCTACAAAAAACGCTATTTTCAGATTGTTAATAGCATGGATATTGGGCACTTTCTATGCGTTTAATGTTAGCAAACTAGACCAAGATAAATATATTGCGTGCCACATAATATCGCCCTATTTAACTAGGTGCCGACATGGTTAAATTGCAAAGAGACTAAATAATGAGCGAAGACATTTCTCAGCAAAATCATATTTGTTCATTTAGAAAACTGTAGGGTTTCAGTGTTTTTTTTAATTTAAATGTCTCATTTAGAAAATTTTATATAAGTTAGCGCTGACAAAGTTGAATTTGTTCATAACATATACAATCCATTTTTTTGGACTGAAGTAAATTTAATTAAATGTAACATCCTTGTCACAGGCCGTAACAATAAAAAAAAACAATTTAATTGCGGTGCTTTGTATTTAGGATTAAAATTCAAGTTAACAGGCGACCCTCGTCAAATAATAGTAGTTGTCACTATTCTTATGCACCTGTGTGTTTCAATAGTGAACCATTATTTAATTTGATCAAATAATACAGAAAATATAGGTTTAAAAGCCCAAATGTAGAATGATTACATTACTGGAGATAGATAAACACGGCAGAATACAATGAGGATTATCTCATAGATATCCATTCATACATATATAACATGCATAGTCTTTTGAATGATTGGTATTGCCGAAATGCCGGTTAGTGTTAATACATACATTAGATAAAGCTATTCATAGGTTTGTACAGTGTATCCTTGATAAGATTCACTTGGTTTTATCAGTGAAAAAGTTGATAATGACAATAATGTGACCTTATCATGGATCAAGTAGCATTACAATGATGGTTAGGCGCAATTACGGTTGAAGCTAAAAGGAAATTGATCTTAACAGTACCAAACGACACATTGCGAAAAGGGCTTGAAAGGCACAGCACAGAAAGAGAGACAGTAAGTTTCCTGTAGACAATAGCACGCCGTCTATTGGGTTCTGTATCGATTGAGAGGAAAGCTGAAGATGTCACCACACTAAATATTTACTGATCACACACAAATAACACGGGGCGTAACGATTTTTTTTCTTCTAGTGAGCACAGAGCATTGGGGGTAAATCACTGTGTGTAAAGAGAGAGCCATAGGTTGGAGTGGCGTGTTTCAGATGTGGGGATAACAGGATAAAAAGAGGTGCGAAAATCGATAGACACTGATTAGAAGGCGATTTCTGACAGAGGGAATGCTGCAAACGCATTGCTGAAGCTGAGTGGGGAGCTGTAATATATAATTATGGAAAAGCTTGGGAAATCTAGGAAGAAAATGAAGCACAAGTCTTTTGCAGCACCGGTGAACATAATTACAAAATATGTGATACTTAACCTATGTGCTGAAACAGAAAGGCCAGAGAAAGATACGGAAACGTGATCAGAGCTGTATATGTGCACACGGATACTTACACACACACACACAAACACACACATACATTCTTATACATATTCAAAGGTAAATACGAGATAGTCACAATATTGATGTAAGTAGAGATACTTGGAAAAATTGCAGGGATGCCGATCTCAGAGCCTGCACGTTAACATTTAAAACAAATTAAGCCTCGTCTATATTTAGCTCTAAAGGAAAAGAAAGGCAAACTGCATCCCGTGGTACCTAGAAAAGTCTAATTAGCCATTTGCAGAGTGTCATCTCCTGTTTTGCACTCCCAGGAGATAAACGGAGAGTTGCAGGTGAGAGGATGCCGTGTGGGAGTAAGAAAGAGAGAGAGAGAGAAAACGCATTTTCACCCACACCTTCTCAAAGCCCAACCAAAAAAAACACATCTGCACTCCAAACCCAAGATGGGGCGACTCTGACCTCGGGTCTCAGGTTCCTGCCCTGATTAACCCGTACCGGCCCAAGATATAGCAAAGGTTAACCAGGCTAATGAACATACCAACTCTGATAGAGTTAGAGGCCTGGACAGAAAGATTCACTGAAGACGCAAAATCTATTTAGAACAAACGACTATTGCAATCTGACGTTTCGTTGTCTGCAGAATAGTTTTCAGCAACATTTTGAAAGTCTCTCTCTCTCTCTCTCTAAATATATATATACACATAAAACCCAGTTTTAAGATGACTAATGGGTTAGATGGCAATGCTTTTGTTCCATCATTTACAACGTTAATGAAACGCTAGCTGGACTATTGCTCAAGCATATCAATAGTCGACCCTTACGGCTTATTTCTGATGATTTTTTTGGTATTGCAAAAAAAGTTTTGATTTCAGACTGGGCTATTTTGTTTAGAACTTTATGCATGCGAATATCCCATGTTATGTTCTTATGGATTAAATTAAGGCAATGTTCTGTGCATACTGTTACACTCACCTTACCCCCCCCCCCCCCCCACCACCACCAGCACAACACACACACACAGTCGGAAAACCCAAACAAACCAGTGCGCTAATAGTTTTCATTAAAAAAGGGCCATTTCAGGTGTTTTACATCAAGCTTGTCATGCACTTTATATGAGGAATGTCAAAAAGTAGTAGGTAAAAAGTGATCGATATCGATAAACAGAAACGGACACCAGAAACAAACAATAAACCCAACCTGCCCAAAGGGTTGTCGGAAAGATGATTTGCAGTGGACGAGGGAAGGGAACGGGGGTGGAAGTTTGGTTTATAGAGCAGCAATGGTGTAGTGGGAATGGGATTAGAGTAAAGTTTTTGGAGAGCGGGCCACCTAATGTAATAAAATGCATTAAGGCTAATTGTACGAAACAAGCCAAAAATATAAGTTTTTGCAGCTTGGAGTATCCATTGCCAGTTTTATTTTAAGTGTATAGATAATAATGAGGCCCAGGTTTTTGGTGTAAAAACCTAATACGAGGGTTTCTTGATTTCTTTAGCTTTATAGTTTCTCGAAAACTGCTGTAGACACGATTTGTGTTACTGATGTAAACCAATTTGTCACTGTCCGCTTTAATTATTGGGGAAACGCCAGGGCTGATGCAGCCCTTTCTTTAAATGCATTGCTAAAGGTTTTATTCCCGTTTTTTTTAAGACACAGGAGAATTTCCCCATCTTCTTACGTTTTCCTGTCATTTCTCAGCTGAAACCTGTCCAAAACAAAGTTTGCCTCTCGTACCTCCGCCCTGAATCAATCTCGGGTTTCAATAGGTGTGGCATGAAATTATTAGTTTCCTGATTTCACAGCGAAATGGCTATAAAACGGAATCCGAAACAGCCTTCGCATCACTCGGGTTTCTCGGTTTGCTGGTCAAGCGATGGAAGAGTTGTTCCTCTTTGCATCTTTTGTTACTAATCCTAACTCATGTTTTTTTGATATGTGCATCGCGTTGTCTTTGATAATGTGTGCTTCGCTGCTTGCTTGCTTGCTTGCTTAGTTGTGTGACTTAACTCTTTGTTTTCTCTGAACCCAATAGCAATAGAAACGGTACCCACTGACTTACCTATTGCAATTCTCTTTCAATAATCATTGGTGGTTATTGGAAGTGTAAGAGTGTTACCGCAACACCTTGTCGCTTATTTAAAGTATCATAATTAGCCGTTTTTTAATCCACCTGCTATCTGTCACTTCTCACTCAGTCTCATCATCAGTTGCAAGACAATTTTCAATGTCATTGATCACCGACTTGCGCGGTGCTTTAACTTTGCGGTGTTTTTATTGTCTTACGTTTCTCCCACAAACATTTTGTTGTTCATTTAAAGGTGCAGGTTAGACTCGCATCCCCCCACCCCCCCTATCTGTCTGTGTGCCCCCAGGGCCAATCTGAGAACACGCAGCCAGTAGATTGCTTTCAGAGGCTGGCTCTGAGATGATGGATTGCCATGTCAATTTAACCGGCGAAGGATTAATTTGTTTCAATGATTTCTCTTTAGGCAGAACGCCAGCACTTTTCTATCTATTCCTTTCCCTTCCCTCTCCTCTTTACAAACAAGTGGATGTAGTTTCTAAGGGTGATAATGGTGAGAGATAAGTTAAGACTCTGCAGTGGCATGACATTGCAGTGGACAATGAGTTTCTATTCCCTCAGAATTACTGGCAGATATATCTGATCAAAACTTTACAATCGACTATGATCTTCACTTAGGTTTGCGAGTGCGTGGCCATGTTTCATTCATCACAACATTCTCGGAGACATTAATTTCCGACTCTATTTAGAAGCATCAAATACGAAAGATGCCATTCAAAAAGTTGTGCACACAGATTTGTCTGTGACAGTCCAAAAGCTTAGCTGAACTCTTCATAAAATGTTTTGCAAAATATTTCCGGGTGCATTGACATATTTAACCCCAGAGTATCCCGTATACAGAGCAAATTGTCACCAAGCCTGAAATTTGTTCATAACTACTTGCCCTGCTCACGTACTTGTCTGGCGTTTTGCAACTCTTGCTGCCCCCCACCCACCCCCCCTCCCTTCCCCGTCCCAACCTAACTTGCTTTATGTAATTCCACTGTGCATCATTGCCAGCGTGTTATTTCCTCAGCAAAATACTATTGCTTGTAAGCCTGTTTTTTTTTTTGCTTCATGGTTTCAGCAAATACATTTTCATTGTGATTGCTCTGAAACGTCCAAAACCGCTGGTCTGTAATAACAGTAGTAAGAATGCAGGGACTCACTTGTGCTGATATGATCCTAAAGAGCCTCAGCACCACAAGCGCCGCTACATTTAACTATTTGGAGGCTTGTCTTGGCAGATAACATATGAATGTGCTCATCAACTCGAATTTATTAGGTTTAATATCACACGTTACATATATATATATATATTGCAACTATACAGACATAATAGCCATGTCCTGTCTTTTTCTCCCTCACTTCTAGATGACAATTTAGATGTTAGCGGATCACATGGCGCAAATAGCTGTAGACTCCCATCGAAAACTTAGCAAAGAAGATTAATAGGACTGGTCAGAGCTATTAAAGCACAGCTTTGCAGTAAATTTATGCTCCAGGAAGATAAATTGCTGATCAACATTTTAGTTATCAGACATCTCCAGTACTTGGATGCTAGACTTAATTAGTATTTTTTTCTCTTTCTCTACTAAAAGTAGGAATCACGTTGTGCACGAAATCAGCCCAATAATAAATAAAACATGTGAAAGGTGTTTAAAATATATCTTATTTTTCTTTTCTGTCGGACACATGCCTTACATTTCTGTCGGCTCGATAAACAGTCTGCTCGTTTCCTACCTTGTTTGATTTGAAATATTATGCCTAACCTTTAATTCTGGACGATCGTTGATTTATGATCAATAGCAGATGACAAAATATGTGCGCAACATAAATACCTCCCTTCTGTGATGGAAATAGCTGTGAGGAAAAAGTAGAGCATATCGTTCATATCAAAAGTTTAGGGGCCACAGTCGAAGCCGGCGGTAAGATCTGTAAATAGAGTAAGAACTTTAAACGTATGATGGAAGAATGAACGCTCTCACAAAAAAAGTAACCCCATCTTTTCAAACCCCCTTCAATGACTGCCCTTTATTAAGGGTACCTGATTCGGTATTTTGTAATTAACATTTGATGTGGTGAAACACATTCCATGTACTTTTGAGCACTATTGGTAGGCAAGGAAAGATTATCAGGGACATATAAATGTTCTTTTTGAGACGTTAAAGTGGGAAGGATAGTTTATACCACACTGGCATCAGTCAGCAATGAATTTGTGGAGTAGAAAAAAAATACCCTTTAAAACATTTTACGAAGAGTTTTATGCTGAGCTTTTGGACTGTCACCACAGACAATGCATTTGATTTGAAAACCTGCAAAAAAAAAACACAGCAGCTCGGATTGTATGGATCTCCATCGCTGAATTAAAAAAAACTCCACGGCTGTTCATTAAGCAACAGAATGAGCTGGAGAAACAACGGGTGAAGTTTAACTTCAGATGCATTTCATTTTCATTTCCAGAACATTTTCTGCGTCTTTTGTGCATATCGTTTGCAGCTCTGCACAGGTGGAAGAGTTCACGCCTCTTTTATTTGCAACGGTGATTGAGATCAATAATTCTGCATAAAGCGTCCATAAAGCTTGGATTCTTAATATTAATTTCAATTCTTAAACTGACACAAATAATAGTGAGCAGCACAGATAGGTTACATAACAGTCTTCGTAATCATTCTTTTTTTAATTGATCGAGAATGCTTCATTACCATCACCCTCTCAAAACAGGTTTATTCAGGAATTAGAAGCATTCCTTTTAAATGTACAATTTTCTAAAAAAAAATTACAACAACGTTTGTGAGGTCAAGTCATCACCAAAGCAGAAAAAAACAAGCCTGACAGAAATGGACAAGGTTTTAGGTTTAAGGATATTAGATATGAGACAACACAACGTCTTTTGCAGCTCAGACAGCTTCTCTATGCCTCAAACTATTCCACCTTTATATAACACATAAATTATTATCAGAAGCACTTACAATAATTTTCTTCAACTGAAATAAAATATTTCCAAAACCAATGAGGTTCACAATTTAACCATTCACATATTTGGAACGGCATTTCATTCCCTTCGCTTAATAGTGAGGTTGGGATTTTCAAGGCAATACACAACAATATTTATTGGTCCTGAAATCAGTCACATTTTCACACAAACAGGTGTACCACATTAAATCCAAACCTGGGTCCTTTAACCTACCCAGAAGGGTAAAACTAAAATCACACCTGAGAGGAAACTGTCCATCTTTTTTTTTGTGTGGAGCTCTTAAAGTAAATAAAATATCAAGTTCTCTTCATAGATATATCCCGTAACAAAGTGGGAAATTGCCGAATGACCCGTTTTAACATGAAGATTGTTTTTTCAAAGTAATCTGATCCCTTTATTCTTTTTCAGATTCATGTTGCCTGAAGATGATTGAACATGGCAAACTGCACAAAGTCTGATTAAAGTATCAACCATACTTCCTTAAGCGTGAAACACGCATTTAAAATGTCTAATCACATCCAATGCTTGCAATGGTAATTCCAGGGAAGGTGGCAACTATTTACACTACTTCTTATATTTGACTTTCATGTCCATTCTCATATCGGGTGACCAAGCTAACTACATTTGGATTCAGTATTAAATTGGTCAAATCCCGTGAACAAGTCCCAATGTGTTACAAAAGCTCAAAACTTTAGCGGTTAACACACGTGTGAAATTTTCTATCCATTCTTATGGAATTATCTCAGCACAAGGTGAGTGAAATGTCAGTCCGTCACTGGAGGCAGGCGATCTAATATATTCTGCTCTGAAATTGTAAAACTATACTTAGGAAATTCACTCAGGGAATTGCGCAATTAATCTATACCCAACCCAATCCTTTGTTTTACTTTTTTATAACATATGAGATAAATTTGCATTGTAACCCATAACTGTTCCAGCCAACCTGAACTGTGGGTACTGCATTTAAATTGTGTGTTAACATTTGTACCTATATATACGTAAAGCCTGAACCACAGATCAAAGGAAGGAATGTGTAACACTATCGTTCCCATTTTTCAAGGGTTGTACAATATAGCTGAAGTATACACACAAGTTATGCAGAAGTAAAGTGTGAAGCACTATTTAGGCTTCAATGATAAGGATGACATCAAAAGTTGTGTGGAGCTTTGAGTGAACTGCACAAGTGACTCTTCGTGAACTATGAATACACACTTTTTATTCAGCAAATTTGGCTTTTTTAAAAAAAGGGTAATAATATGCAGTTAATCTTATTACAAGGAAGCTATTGTTTTACTATATAACAGTTATTTGTAACATTACAAAAATGAACAGGAGAGAATATAGCATTAAATAATTTGGCGTACAATTATAATAATTATATATATAATAATAATTATAAAAATAATAAATTGGTCATTTTCAATCTACGACTGTTTGTGGGACACTGCTGTGCACAATTGGCTGCCGCGTTCACCCACAAATATACAGTCAATTCACTTTACAGTACATTCTGTGAAGCGCTTTGAGACGTATAGAAGACGTGAAAAGTGCTATATCAAATGCAAGGATTATTATTAGTAGTATTATAATACACAATGAGACTAATAGGATGGGCTGAGATGCTCTCTGCATGTTTGCTGATCAAAATATGATATTGCTTTCACTTAAAGTTGCACAACTTTGTGCTTTGCAGTTCTTAGCACCATTGAAGAACAGTCCACCAGCAATCAATATGCTCTTCAAGAGTGTTTCTCCCAGATTTCTATTGGGAAGAAATCTAAGCGAAAGAGATATCAGTTGCTGTTTCACTGCAAAACATCCTCATCGTGGTACAATTGGTAATTGGAATTATAGTTTTAAGTACAGATCATATCTGCTGAGATTTCTTTTAGCATTTCAAAAGCTTTTGATGAACCCATCTGACTTGGCTCTTCGGTATATACTAACAAAAATGATTTATCTTGAGTTGTTTGAAAATACACAGGAGTAATAATACAAATCAATTTGAGCCAGCTTGTGCCTACGTGCATAGATCAGTCAAGATCGGTTTAAATCATCAGTGAATTCAGTGTGAATTTCAACACAACCTGTATACATAACTTGGCATATTTCAGAATGTAAATAGATGTCGTCACAAATGGAGAAAGGAACAGTAAATATCAAAGAAAATGTTTGGGCTTTTAAACACAAACCATATTTTGAATGTTCAGCATTGATTTGAATCCAGCTGGGTCTGCCTGTTCATTTTACCAGATGCTCAGTATGTATTTCTGGGGCTTCTCATTATCCCCAGTTTGCTTAACATATGGTCTTTGATGGCATTCATCTATTTTTCTGTACTCTCTATACATCTTGGAATCATCAAATGATATGTCGCAAGCACATTAATTTTCATATATACTTTTCAGCTTCATCCCAATTTCCCCTTAATTCACACGAAGAGACAATTACATCAGATATCTAATTTTTAACTTTTCTGGAGGCAGATTTTGGCAAAAGGAGGCTCTTGGCAACTGGCAGGCGCTCAGCATCCAAGGGGAGTTCCAGAGGATCAACCTGAGATACATCTGGATACCTGCAGGATTCACAATTTACAAATCCTTTTGTGAAATAGACCCCTCACCCTTTTGGAATCAAGTGCCCAGTCAATCTCGGAGATTAAACTATCGTTAAAAATCAACCATAAAAATAAAAGCAGAACACTGACATATTAGTGGCAATTTTTTAAAAAAAGTTAAAGAATAATAGAACAGTTGAATGATGTTCAATATTTTAACCATGATTATGCCCACCCTGTCATGATTAAAACAATTGCAGATGCAGTTAAGAGTCAAATTCATACCAAGATATCTTGTCTTTGAATTCAGAAGGTGATACTGTATTTAGTTTAATGGATATAAAAAAACAAATTGTTTCCAATTTACAGGTAGTGAGAATAGTTGAAGTTTCAATCACTTATGATGTGAATGCTGAATTAAAAGACCAGTGTAACAAAATGATAATTGTACGATTGACAACAAACAGCATTTTCTATATTCTCTTATTTTTAATATCTTAATAACATAGATAAGACATTTAACAACAAATCATGAAGCACAGGCTTAGTGCACCTCAATCAGTTTAAAGACAGAAATAAAATGAACCACACTCAACCAGCAACTTGTAGCATGGGTTGTTAACATCATATTTATTATAATTAACATTTTACAATTAAGATGACTAACTGCACCTGGTTAACCCTCGCAACACTCCAATTTTGCTTGAGCTACAAGTTAACACTGAATGTTATATTCCGTATCCAAATGATTAAATACTCACAAAGAGAAAATATACAAGAACCATTATGTACAATATTTTTAAATATAGACAAATAATTGACTAAGTTAAACAGTTATGCTTTTGAGCAATTACATTACCATATGCAATTGTCTATATATAGCTGGGACACAGTATTTCAAAAGCAATGCAAATCTAAAGGCTTTGTTTGGCAAATGTTCCAGACAATTTGAGTTCTAACACAAACAAACTAATTTGATTGTTTAAGGATATTAGTTGCTGGCTTATTTAAACCTCCTGCAGTTCTTTCACATTATGAGCACTGAATTCCTTTACAGCTTACATGTTTCAAGCTATGTTGGATAGATATTGTATTGTGAAACTGCAATCAAAATATTTAGTTAACAAAGACTTAGCAGCATGGTAACAAGTTTCCAATACAGTACTTTGTTATTTTCAGAATGGTCACGTTTGCAAAGCTAAAAGCAAAGGAATTAAGCAGGATGTGGAGTTGTTTAAAACACTGTTGCAGATGCAGACTCATAACAGGATAAAAAAAAAGTTTAATAAACATGATTAATGGTTTCATCGTGATTGTTCCAGAAAATTAGATGATACACCATTAGATTAGAAGTTGTATCATTATTACACAAAGATAAATATCACCAAACATTTACTTTATGACTCTGCCCCATTCAAGTAGAAGTCCCATTCTCCCCTCCCCTTTTGCTAGATTGTTACAAATTAAAATTAATACACTTTTTGTTGTGTATAAAGTGTTGTATCATTATCTCACTACAGCAATAGCATTATTTGCATACTTTGCACTATAACAATTGAAGATACATAAATGTTTAGAAGTGGGAACCCACAATTTGAGTTCTTACAAAATTTCTTATGTAATGGCAATTTATCTCTAAGATTCTAATGGATAGATTTGGATAATATGTTTTAAGCCACAACTAAATTGTCTATGGTTTCCATAATTGTTAAGTCTATATTTTATTGCTCAATGTACAATCACAAAACAATATTAGCTACAGAAATGTACCATTTGGTTTAAATTAAGCATGCTTATTTATTGTAAAAAGGGTTAATATTATGTGTTATTTCCAGGGCGTCTATTTGTTTAGTAATCAGCCATTTTAAGTTTTTGATTCACTTGAGTTCCAGCGTGAAACATTAATGCAAGTTGCAAGAAATATAAATATCTCACAAAGTATAAAAAATTGATTCAGTTTATAAATGGATCTTAGTTGAAGCAGCATCATTATAATGAGGACCATAGGGACACAGAAAAGATGGTAATGGTGACAGTTGATGTAGGATTTCTACCTGCTCTAAGAGCAGTCAAGTTTTTGAAAAGTTATAGATAGCAATCAATGTTACAGCGTATTAAAGTAACTGCATGAAACTCTCAGTATTTATTCTACTAGCAATATGAATATGCAAAGCATATTCTTATGTCCTTGACAATTTATTTGAGATCCATAAATGATTAAATTAGATATGCTATAGATTTTGTTACGCACTAAATTTACTGGAAATTATTTAAGACTTCATTTTAACATTACATGTCATTGAATGTGTGCCAGAGCTGTTAATTTAGTGGGAAATTGCTATTGAGAAAAATCACACATATATGTATATATGTTACTATTATTTTGTTTATTTCGAAACCAGTTTTAGATGAACAACTGTCTAAAAGACATTATAATACTGTTAAAACAGTTGATTGTGAAACACAAATAAATAAATTCAAACAGTGTGTGTGCTAATAGTCAATGTCAAACAGCATTTGGGATCAATTAAGCAAATGGAATGTAAAAGATCCTTGTTTACACATTCCTTCCCTTGATCTGTGGTCATAGTCACAAAACAGTCCAAGGTCTGAGACTGGTGAGGACATACACAAGCAAACTTCAGAACTCAGCAAATCAGCTCCAACTTTTGAAACAAAATTAAGAGAACTGTAAAAAATAAATGAACAATTACATTTTGACAGTATTTGAATTGAAACTAAAACTAGCCTTCGGGGGCATATTTTGGAGCTAGGGATGTATGCTGTATTATATATCTATACACAATATCTACAGATATATAATTGTCTTTTGACATAAAATTAATCCCACAAAGAAGGGATGAACATTTCTTTTTTCTTGGTTTCTAAAGTGAAATGATTTTACCCAAATTCAATGCAGTTCTTTGTCGGTGTAAGCCCATGTTCAAACCTGCTCTCAAATTTAACACAAATAGCATTAATTCTGTACTGTATTTAGCGGGTCCACAAGGACAGACAGTGTGGGAAATGGTGAAGTCAGGATAGTATGGCATGGGTTCTGTGGGAGGAGAGAGATCTGATACTTGACAGCTCTTAATTGCATGTGATTCATTCGATCCTATTCCTAGGTGTGCATGATACTATTATCAGCTGAAAAGAGACAACTTTTTTGTAAAACTGGAACACTGTCAGTCCTCAATTTACAATACAATAAAACAATAACCGAGCACAAAATACAAGAAAGTACAGATGGCTGAAACTTATATTTTCCTCTGTAAAAAGATATATTTCAGAGCACATAGAGATGAAATGATAGATTATTGTATTCAGATTTATACACACATGATGCTTGCTGTAAATGGAGTTAGTTTACTGAAGTTAACGTCATCTAGCAAGAAACATATTTCATTATTCGGGCACTTAATAGGTAACTCTTAAAACGTTTTGACTAAAAACTTGCAAATAGAATTGAAGATTTGTGAGCAGGTGTCACAAGTTAAGCAAGTGTAACTATAGCAGGTCTGTGTACATATAGTTGTGTCCAGTGTTACTTGATGATGCTTTGACTGATCTCTAACCGTTTGATCCACAACTGGATGGAAGGCAAAACATGGATGTTCTAAAAGACTAAGAATTTAATAGCCCACATACTTAGATTTGAAACTATCTGTGCTTATTGTGAAACTGTTCTTAATTGCACTGTTATTTTTTATGCTATTTTTGTGTTGCATTTTTGATTTTTTGGTTGATTTTTTGTTTTCTGACTTTTTTAAAAAAAATGCATAAAGTATAGGTCAGCTCACTGAGATTATCACTGTTGTTCACCATGGGATTTCTTGATTTAGAAAGGAGAGAACAAGGATCTTCTTGTGTGAAAGAAGGAGCCTGAGGAACAATTAATCACTACATGCAGGTTGTCTTATATATTATATGGTAATCCAACATGCTGATATAGTTCATTAACATTACTAAATGAATTTACTATGTGAATGCCATTCGATCAAAAATATACATTTAACAACATATAGTCCTCTAACACACACATACACACACACACATTCCAGACTGGCTTATTCTTCCAATGAGTGATTGCATGAATTTCATCAAATCAATCGCACTACAACTTAACCAGGGAGGGACCAAGGTATGTGAGTCACATGACTGCTATGATATGTCTGCTTGAAACAGGAGAAACACGTTTTATGTAAGTTCCTTGTGAAATAACATTTTATCTCAAAAGCACAAAATACATGAACCATCAAAAGAGTACAGTAATTGCTTTGTCAAGCTTGTTCCCTTATACAGATACTGCAGGGTTTACTCTAGCAAATAGCTATTGCAGTTGCAGGAAAACTCTTGTTCGCTCGTGTCAGGAACGGGGAAGGAAACTAACCTAATTCTTTGTGTGTATCTGTACCGAAAATGGGACAGACCCCAATGATATTGTTACACTTCCTCTGAGGGATAGTTTTGGTAGCACAGAGTTAGTTTTGCTCAGCTCAGTCATTACCATTTACATTGGCAGCATCTCTAGCACTGCATTATCACTGGGCTCATCTCTCCATTGTCAGATGTCACAAAAATGCTGCAGCATCATTAATAAGAAGATCAAAATATGGCAGATGGTTTGTATAGTCTGAGTTCTGCAAGCATTAATGCAATTTGATGGTGATGCACTCTGATAAAACATAACCAGCACATTCTTATGAATTTCTGATATAATCTGATGGCATCATAAACAATTGGTACCACATTAAGACAAAAAGAAATCAAAAAGAAATTGGTTCGGAAAGTGGAAGCAACATTGCTAAACAAGGATACTATTTTCGAGTGCAAGAGGCAGAACTCCAGCTCAATTGGTAACACTCAGGCCTTTAAATCAGAAGGTTGTGGATTTGTGATCCACGTTGGGAATTTGAACTCACAGTCTAGGTTGACACTATAATAGAAAATTCTAACTCAGCCTGTGCTACCAACACTATCCCTCAGATGAAGTGTAACAATATCATTGGGGTCTGTCCCATTTTCGGTACAGAAACACACAAAGAATTGGGTTAGTTTCCTTCCCCATTCCTGGCACTAGTGAACAAGAGTTTTCCTATTATATAATGTTGGAGGTGCCTTCCTTGAGACGAGGTGTTAAACCAAGGTCCCCGTCTGCCTGTTCAGTTGGTTGTTAAAGATGTCATGGCACTGTTCAAAACAAGAAGGAAGTTTCTCCTAGTGTCCTGATCAACAATCCACATAAAATTGGTTATTCCCCTCAAGGCTGCATGTTGGACAAAGTCTGGGATCCCCAAGCCTTGCCTCTTGTGAATCTAGGTCCAAGTTGGATTGCATGACTAGGGTATATCTCTCCAGGGAGAGTGTGCACTCCATTCCAGACAAACATAAAGTTCCATGCATACTCGTAACTCTCATTACCTTGATTTGGTATTCTTAAGCATGTCAATGGGTGTGCGAGTGAGTCAGAAACCCATCTGACCAAAAATAGCACCAGGATTGACACTGTGCGAGGGGGGGTGGGTGTCCCTGAATAGTGATCAAGAAAGAGTAGGGGCTCTTCATTTTCTCCTCCTCCTATTCTAGTGAGATTAAGGCAAGCATTGTTGCCACTTACTCACCAACAACCATAATTTCATTGAATAATTCAGAGCAAAACTGCAAAAGGGAACAGCGATATAAGAGGTCAACATTAATAAACAAAATATGTCAGTGCAATGTCAAACCACCTGTATGTAGAAGTGATTCTACCACATAATGTAACTGGA